TACTGTTTTTGGCTTTTCGCGCTTTCGAGTTTCAAACGGTCCAAGAGCGCCGACGAGGCTCCCAAGACCGCCCCAAGACCACCCAAGAGACCTTCAGGACGGCCCCAAGAAGGCTCCAATATTGCCGAAGAGGCGCCCAGGAAAACTCCAGACCACCCCAGAACAGGCCCAAGATGGGACCAAGAGTGGGAGCAGGAGGCATCCAGAGACCTCCGAAAGGCCTCCGGGACCACCCAGAGGCTCCCAACACACCCCCGATCCCTGAGAGGCCCCGGAAAGACCCCGACGAGGCTCCCCAAACAGCCCAAGAGAGCTGCGAGAGCCGTCCCGAGAGAGCCCAAAGAGGGTAACATCGTTGATGTCCAATGGTTTTTCTAATGCTTTTTCGCCTTCTCACGTCTTCCCGCTTCCAACCCTCGAGGATCGAGGATTTTGAAAAACAAAAGGGATTCCCAGAATCCCCCTTTGTTTTTCCCGGAAAGGGCCTGAGCCCAGGGTTCTCTTTTAGTTGGTTTCCCCTCGGTTTTGACGGCTGTAGGGCCGGCGAATTTCTTTTGCGATAAATAACGAGGTCGCGTAGGGCCGGCGAATTAAAAATTGAGGATGTCCCTAGCGAAACGCTTGTTTTTCAGAATTTGTTGAGGATGTCTCGAGCGAAACGCTGGTTTTGCAGAGTTGGGGATGTCTCGAGCGAAACGCTTGGTTTCAGAATTTGTTGAGGATGTCTCGAGCGAAACGCTGGTTTTGCAGAGCCGACCGCGACACGGAAAAGCGCTCCTCGCGCAGGAATTCCGAGGATGTCTCGCGCGTGCCGCGTCCCGCACGCAGGAATTTTGATTTCTTTGGGTTTTGACAGGATTTTTCAAGCGAAACTGTTGTTTTTCATAATTTGTTGAGGATGTCTCGAGCGAAACGCTGGTTTTGCAAAATTGGGGGATGTCTCGAGCGGGGGCCTCGTGGGGGGCCAGAATTCAGAGGATATCTCAGGCGCAATGCTTGTTTTCGTTTCCCGCTCGCAGGAATTCCGAGGATGTCTCGCGCGTGCCGCGTCCCGCGCGTCGGAATTCGGATGATTGTGATAGGATGTCTCGAGCGAAACGCTTGTCCCCAGCACGTTCAGTAGCGCGTCCCCTTGGCACGTCCCGCGTTGCGACCCCATGGCACGTCCCCTGGCACGTCGCCTGGCGCATCCCTTGGGACGTTTCGCGGCGCGTCCTCCTGGCATGTTCCCCTTGTCAATTAGCTCTGGGGCAGCTACTATGTGTTCAGGCAGCTCGAGCTTAAGATCCAGATCAGGTCGGTCAGGACTCGGATGCAAAGGATGACTCGATCCACGACGCTATAGAGCACAACCGCGGCATGGCACATCGCAATTCAGCACGGTGCAGCACAGCACAGCCCTCGGCAGGGTACATCAAGATCGATACACTCAGCATTGCAACTTGGCACGTTCCTTGGCACGTTCCGTGGGGCGTCCCTTGGCGAGTCCCCCTGGCACGTCGCGTGGCGCGTCCCCTGGCACATTCCGTGGCACATCCATTGGCACGTTCCGTAGCGCGTCCCTTTGGCACGTCCTACGGTGCGACCCCATGGCGCGTCCCCTGGCACGTCGCCTGGCGCATCCCTTGGGACGTTTCGCGGCGCGTCCTCCTGGCATGTTCCCCTGTCCATTAGCTCTGGGGCAGCTACTATGTGTTCAGGCAGCTCGAGCTTAAGATCCAGATCAGTTCGGTCAGAACTCGGATGCAAAGGAGGACTCGATCCACGACGCTATAGAGCGCAGTCGCGCCATGGCACATCGCAATTCAGCACGGCGCAGCACAGCACAGCCCTTGGCAGGGTACATCAAGATCGATACACTCAGCATTGCATTTGCCCGTCACCCAATCAGATGTCTTTGAAAACGCTGCCATGTGTTACAGTTCTATATTCCTTTCCGGGTTCGTGGGTCGATCATGTTCAATGTGGGATTCCTACTCGGGGGTCCTGCACATCCCCTGACATCTGGCCGGTACCGCGCCTCCCGGTTTCCCGCGGGGAGACCCCAAGTCGCCGAAGGACAGCCCATGACGACCCCAAGGAGCCCCCAGAACATAAAGAACGGCCCGACACGCGCCCGCGCAGCCCGCGACAACCTTCCGACTGCTTTCCAGGCCTCCAGGAGGCCCCCAGAACCCCCAGGGGGCCCGGAAGATCCCGCACCCCTGAGGGGCCCGGCGAACAAAACCCGAGAGGCACAAACAAAAAACAGCGCCGAACAGCGCCAAAGAATTGGAAAAACATGGAAATTCAGACCCCCCTCACCTCCCCAAAAACAACCCCGGAAACTTTTGAGGGCCCCAAATCGTTGAACACCTAAAGGAAAATAATGATTTCTGCGTTTCCGCATTTCCCCTTCTATACGATTCCGAGGCTTGCGCAGGGCCTCCAAGGGAGTCCCTGGGCGCAAGAAGCGACCAACATGAAATGACATGAGTTAGCCTACCAAGCCGAGCTAGAACTCGAGCACGCGCGAAAAGCGCGCGATGGTTCTATTATACATATTCATATACATATAGGTATACATATGCATCTGCATCTTCATATGTATGTATATATATACAAAGGGAGAGAGAGAGAGAGAGAGAGAGAAAGAGAGAGAGAGATATGGGTTCTGTTCGGGCCCATTCGACCTTCGTGAAGGCGATGCTTGGGGTTTCATGGGTCCTCTTGGGGTTATTGAGGGTCGTATTGGATCCTTTGGGCCCTCTTTGGGGCATGCCGGGTAGTTATCGGGCGTTCTTGGGAGTGGATTTGCTGAGTCGCTCTGATCAGTCGAAAGTCCGAAAAGGCGAAAGCGTGAAAATCGTCCCAAACGTATGGGGAAACAATGTGCGTTGCCTCTTCGGAGCGTCCTGAAGGCTCTCCCGGACAGCTCTCGTGTCGATTTCGGGGACGTCTTGGGGAGTCTTCGGCCATCGTGTGGCCATTGTGGGCGGAATTTGAGCCATCTCGGCCGTGGAGCCGTCTTCGGATCATATTTCAAGCCATCTTGGCCAGCGGTCGCCGTCTTGGTGACCCGCTTGGATCCAATTGAGGCGGCACAGCAGTTGGGAGACTTGTCTTCCGCGCCCCAGCGGGGCGGGCTTGAGCCCACTGGGAACCTTTGGAAGGGCCAAAAACAACACCAAATCCGGCACGCCAAGCCCACCTCGGGCAGGCTATGGAGGCGGCGGACACTGATGGCATTCGGACCGTCCCGCCACCGTTGCCGCGTGGTGTCAACGTGGGGAGCCTATCGGAAGCCTCTCTGGGAAGCCTCTCTGGGAAGCCTCCTGGGGGTCCTGCGTGTACCTCTGGGGAGCCACCTGGGGCCAGTTGCGGATGTGGGGCCCGCCTCAGAGAAGCTTCTATCAGTCTGGTGTTGGCGCGCGTTGTTGGCCCATCTTGGGACCGTCTTCAAGGTCTCTTGGGCCCATGTGGTTGGCGTTGGGAATGCCCTTTCTGAGGGGGCCTCGGACTTGGACGCTCCTAAGACCGAAAGCCCGCCCTAAACGCTCATACCCGAACCTGATGTGTTTTAGCGATCTGGGCCCTCTGGACTGGCCCGAAGGGCCTCCAGGACGGTCCAGGAGACCCCCACGACGGCTCTAGCATGGGCCCCTTGGACCATATTATGTATTGAGTTGCCTCGATACGCCCGTCTTGAGATGCAACCCGTACCGTACTTAAAACGCCCGTGTCAATACGCTGCGTGTTTACTCAGCATATTGGCCCACGTTTTGGCGAAGGTATCGCGTCACACCTACGTGTTCAGTCTGCGTGCTGAGCTCGGTATCGGTACGGTACGTGTCGCGTGTTGCGTATCGGGGCAGCTAAGATTATGTACGGCATGTTGGACGGTTGGGTCCCCAAGAGCGCATCCAGGTCCTTGTCTTTGGGAACGGCCACGCGTCGCACGCCATAAGCACCCGAGGGCGCCCAAGCATTGCGGTAATCAGGGGCCTCGGCCCCGTAGAGAATATACGAGGAACATTAGCTGAGGCCTGACACCAGTTCATTCAGTGCTTCGCGGCATGGGGGCGGGTAACCCTTCATCTAACTGAATGCTACAGCTGCAGCTGACAATAGCTACATGGCTCAATACAGTGATTGTCATGGCGGCGAGCCGCCATGCGAACAGTTTTAACAACACCGGCATGTGCACGGCACCACTTCAAGCTAAAGCGAACGATTCGCGGAGTCGTGATAACGCGCGTTGCACCATGGGCCCCGCATCCGACGTCCGAACATAAAACAGCGTGACATTGGCCGTGCCTTGTGCAGCCGGCGGCCAGACATATGACGGCATACGATTGATTATGCCGGAGGTCACGGATTTGGGCAGCCTGGAAACAGCGGCCTGTTACCGGTTGCGACCAGTCCAGTTGTCCCGGCAGTCATTTAGTGACACCTCGCCTATATATATATATATATTATATATATATATATATATATAATATAAACAAATAGGCCCCCCCCCCCCGGCGGGGCCGCCCACTCCGCAACCATCGGGGAACGCTTTTTAATACCCCCTCCCCGGGGCCTCCAAGGAGCCTCCAAGGAGCCTCCAGACGACCCAAGAGGCCTCCAAGACGGCCCCAGGAGGCCCCCAGGATGGTCCAAGAGGGCCCCGAGGCGGTCCCAGATCGCTCCAAGACGCCCAAGATGGTCCCAAGACGGCCCAAGGGGCCTCCAAGACGCCCCAAGAGGCCTCCAAGAGGCTCTCCAAGAGGGCCCCAAGAGGCTCGAATCGTTGATTTTCCATTGTGTTTTTCGATGTTTTTGGCTTTCTCTCCTTTTGGGCTCCCTGGCGCTCCAAGACGGCCAAGAGGCACCCAAGATCGCCCCAAGACGGCCCAAGAGGCCACCAAGACGGCCCCAAGACGGCCCAAGAGCGCCCCGGGACCGCTTAAGAGGCCTCGAAGACGGCCCAAGAGAGTCCCAACACGGCTCCAAGAAGGGGCCCAGACGCGGGATCCGAGCGCACTTTACGGGCCCTCGGCCCCAAGAGCATCCCCAGAAACCACTAGAGGCTCCCAAAGGCCCCCAAGAGCCCCCCGGGAGGCCCCCAAGAGCCCCCGAGCAGGCACCGAAACGAGCCCCATGCGATTTCGGACACTTTCATATGCACCCCTTCTTCCTTCCGATCCGTTCCGTTGAGCTGCCTGCATTGAGTAGCATGTGCATTGCATTTCAATTCAACAATAATGCTGTGAATCGCGCTGCATTTGCAACGTTTGGCGTTTGTTTTACTACTCGCATTGGTCTGCATGGCGTTGCATTCGATACGTCTGTGATGATTGCGATGATTACGATGGTGAGGATCCTGGCTAGAACTTGAGCGCGCGCGAAGCGCGCGCGATGGTTCTAGTATATATATATACATATATATATATATAGATGTGTGTGTATTAAAAACGGGCGTACGAGGCGAACGCGTCCGTCACGGTGCCCCGCTGTATAGTTCGTGTCGCTAGAGCGACAGCCAGCTACAGAATTCCCAGCGTTAAAAATTTCAGCTGCATCCTGCGTGTGTCCCCGAATGTGATGTGAAAGCCAACATCATCGCAGAGCCAAATCAAGCCCGAGGCCCGCCCTCTGGATTGATTCTCATCCTCTCCCTCCTTCCTCCCCTTTCTCGCTTCCCTTCGTCCTGCTTCCCTCCTCCTCCCCCTCCCCCTTTCCGGCAAGGTGGAGGAGACGTACATGAGGCATTACAAGCAGCTGCAGGACGAGGACGCGCGGCCGCCCAGGTGTTGCTTCTGAGGCCGAGACACTGGGCGTCCTCGCGCAGCGGGCAGCTCTGCTGGCGTGGGGCAGCGAGAGAGGCGTCGGGTGGAGAGAGATCAGCCTTTCCTCCTCCTCCTCCTCCTCCTCCTCCTCCTCCTCCTCCTCCTCCTCATCCGGTTGCGTCGTCTCCTCCTCCTCCTCCTCCTCCTCCTCCTCCTCCTCCTCCTCCTCCTCCTCCTCCTCCTCCTCCTCCTCCTCCTCCTCCTCCTCCCCTTCCCTCCTCGTCCGTCTCCTCTGGAGGGGGAGCTGGCGGCGAGGGGGACGAGGGGGGACTGGCAGGGAGCGAGGGTGCGCACGGGGGGATGGGGAAAGTAGTGAGCGAGGGAGAGCGAGGACAGGGGTGGAAAGGGAGGGAAGGGGGAGGGGGAAGGGCAACGGGGGACTGAGAGGAGGGCTGTTCCTCCTCCTCCTTTCCCCCGCTGGAGGTGCGAGGGGGGGAGGAGTTGGAGGACCAGGGGGGGGGGCGAGGGAGGGATGGGAGCGAGGAGGAAGAGGAAAAGGATGGATCACTGACCAAACTGCAAGGACTGCGAGCGGGCCGCCTTTGAACAGTCCCTGGGCCGAGGAGGGATTGTCAAGAGGGGACGCTCGTCACCTGGGGAGACCCCAACTCGCAGCCTATTCATTTTAGAGAAAGATGGAAGAGGACCAGCTGCATCAGGAGGGAGGTGGGAGCAGCAGCAGCAGCAGCAGCAGCAGCGGCGGCAACAGCAGAAGCAACGTCAGCAGCAGCAGGAGAGGAATCCTCGCTCTCCTCTTCCTTGCCCCTCCCCCTTATGCATCCCCGTCCCCCCGCCCCCGTTCTCCTCCGCGTGCTCCTCTCCTACCTCCCACCTCCTAACACAGATTCTGGCTTGACCGGTTGACTATGCCCACTCTCTACATTTGCGACGAGTTTTGCGGCCCTTCAGCGGCCGGCGTTGATCACATGCACGACCAGGCCCGACCGACCCCGCACAGGCATCTTCTGCAAGACGCAAGGCAGTTGGGCCATTGAGCGGAGGAGATGCTCGCTGCTGACTGACTTGTGGTGTGTTCCTCCGATCGCAACCTTCCTGCAGCCGGCACATCACAGATTCCATGGCAATTCGAGATGGGAAGATGGTGGCACCATGTCACTACGGCCTTTTCGTCAGTGGGGCTCGTTGATGCAAGTTCACGACCTCCTCTGCCCTAGTGGGATTCCAGTGGTGGCTCTTAGGCACCACGCCTAGTCCTACGGGCCTTCCGCGTCGACAGGTCCAACCATGTCGACATCAGCGGGAATGTAAACTCGAATTTCCACGTGTGGATGCTGGGTACTCGTTGCCCTCATTTGGGGAGTTGTCGACGTCAATGGGTTTGCCAACTCGTACCTCCACCTTTGATGGGACCGCGTTGTCCTCGACCGTGCGTTGTCGTCGACCGTGACCTCTGGCGGAGTGGGCCCTATGCAAGAACAGGCAGTGAATGAGCGGCCGAGGTTTCCCAGCGACTCAACGGGCAAGCAAAGTCCTACAAGTCGTTGCGCGTCAGTTTCAGAAGCCGCGCCATTTCGGAAGTGGCAGGGCATCCATGCATCATTCAAAGCAGAGCTTCCTGATAGAAAGAGCCAGCTGTCCATCTCGAGGTTCGGAAGCATTGCCTGATTTCTGCAGGAGGTTGATTCAGGCCAACATCAGAAGATTGCTGCACAGAGCTCCTCTCAGCTTGCACTTGGTCATTCGGAAGACCCGGACGAGCACATGGATCGCAAAGTATCGCATACAGCGGTCGTCGCAATGTATCAGCGTGTGCGCTGGGGCCGCAGACACGATTCGGCATTGTATTTTGGAGCACCCGAGGCGTCATCAGTTTGCTGATTTACCTTCAAAGGCGAACCTCCTCTGATGTGACAGCTTTCGTCTCGGCGTCAGTGGCGAGGAGGTGGCATTTTGCGTTACTATGTGCAACCACCTTCGACTACGCACCCATACGTTTTCGAGTCGTCCGACGAACATACGCTTGGGCAGTTGAAATCTTGCTTGCCGCAGGCGTTGCTGGTTGCGTGCCCCTTCGACGAGATAGGCTCTACCGGGCTGCCCGTCAAGCAAGGCTGAGCCGGTGCCTCGCCGCGTGCCTGTCGTCGGACGGCCCTGGGAGCAGCAGTGAGTCCGGCAGGGGCGGCGGCGGGAGCAGCTTGGAGGGCAGGGGCACGAGAGGGAGGACGTAAGCTGCTGGCCTTCGTCGGGGTATCCGCCCAGGGTTGCGTGCTCCGCAATCCACTGACGAGAAAGAGGACGCTGAACACGCGCGCACACACGCACGATGGAATTGATCAGCGCCACCAGTGGAGCTCCTCCACTTTCCCGTCGGGGCGCGCACCATCTCAGCATTCGGCCACGTCAAAAGCGCCTCGCATTTCATGAAGAATCCCGCCATGGCTTCGAGCCCCCTCCGTGACAAGAGCCACAACGATCTCGGCTGGATCTTGCTAGGACCTACAGCCGTCTTCCAGGTAAACGACAGGATGACACCGATCATCGTCTCCACCGTGACCCTGGGAAGTTTTGGCGAGCTGCTGTGATCCTCTGGCAGCGGGAACAAGTCAGCGTCGTGGCATCGCCAAACCTTCTTCCAGGACTCCACTTCCTTGTCTGCCAATTCGCACGGGGATTGCTCCTCGCCAGAGTCCAATATCTCCCGCGCCGCTTGCAGCCGAGTGGGTTCGCGGGCACCGCTGGCTCCTCGCGTGAAAGATTGACCCACCCACTTGGCGCCAGCGAGCCTGGTCCTGCTGGTCATGAAAATCCACGCTGCTTGTCGCGCCCGCAATAATTTCTGAACAATGGCGTCAAGGCCCGGGTCAGCCAGCAGCGCAAACTCGGACCTGTCCCGCGAGAAGAAACCCGCCACACAACTGGGCACGCGCTGCAGGCTGGCTGCCACTCACTTTCGCGAAGAAGGCCATGTGCTCAGCTATCGCCATGACCAGGGGCCTGAGGCCATCGTTCTCATTGACCACTTCCAGAGCCCCATCTCGCATCATTATCTTCTCGACGCATCTCCGCTGGTGAGCCTCGGTCTCCAGCGCGTGGCTGGCCCAGCGCCACGCGACAATCGCGGCCCGCAGCGGCTCGCCGAGCTGCTGTCGTGCGTTAGGCGGCTTCCAGTGAGCCTTCGATAGTTTCACGTCGATCGAACCTGCTCTAACCAAGTACTTCTCCACCTCGCTGCCCGCGATGTCGCAGACCCCTTGCAGCTTTTGCTCGATGCACCTGAGCACGGTGCCCCGGGCTGGCGCGCATCCCCCTCCGCCCTGGCGTAGAAGGTCTGCTTCTCAAGCGTTTCCCAGTCGATTGGGAAGCGCGCGCGCGCCCCACTTGGGGCACCTTGGGGATGGCCCGCGGCTCCACGACCGACCTGGCCCAGGCAGGACGCTCTTCGCTCAAGAACGGCAACCTCACTGGGCGGTGTATCTCCACGATCGCATCGTCCACGGCAGCAGGCTTCCGAATGCGAGTGGAGCGGTTGGCGCAGACCACAGCGCAGTCTAAGACGCCTCCTGGCATCTCGTTCAAGCAAGAGGGCCTCGAAGGCAAGGCCAAGAAACCGCCGGGCCCATCTGGCCGAGACTTGCTGGTCAACTCGGGCGAAAGGTTCCAGCCCCTATAGCCTAAGCGCGATCCACTCTCTTCCTGCCCCGTTGAGCTCGCCAAGGTAGCTGGCGAGGGCGCGCAGAAGGGCCTCGCTCTCGGGGGCGAGGCCCGCGCCTGAGATCCACGCCGCCTCGGACCCCCCAGGCCACCTCCGCGGCTGCGATCCGCCCTCCTGCGAGCACGACCCCCTCCATGCAAGGGGGCGGGGGCCTTGGCGACGATGCGCGACTGCGCCAATATGGCCGCCCCGCCCGACTGGCCGCCGACGCCCGCGGCGATTGCAGGCGCGCAAACCTCATCGAAGCCGAGGTCCTTGACGCGCCTCTGCAGGGCGGGGAGGTGGGCCGCCAAGGTCTCGCGCTCCTGCGCCGCGACGATCTTGGCCAAGCAATCCTCGAGAAACCCTCTGAGAGGCCCAGCGCCTTCCGCGTTGACTGGCGAAGTACCTCTCTTGGTCCTCGGCATCCTTCATCTTGCGCGGCCGACTGGCCGCGCGACCTCCTGCATCTTGATCGCCGGGAATCTCCCGGCCAAGCGCCGACCGCTGTGCTGCGCATGCCCCCAGCCCAGCG